TAGGTTCCTTGGGCGCAGCAATGTCAATTCACCACCAAAAACCAGCCATTGAATGGCAGTGGAGAACTGAGAAGCTGCACCCAGACGAGTCAGCCAGAGGGTGATGGGAAACCAGAAGATTAGGCTAAACACCAAACTCTGCTCCAAGAAGCATTTACATAAAAAGACAAAAACAGAAAGAAAGCTACTGTGTTAGTTTTGTATCTGTTTTATGTTTTTTGTCCTTGTAAATTGGACCCACAGTTACCAGAAGAGATTGGAAAAGACATAGTTTCTGAAAGTAGAAACAGTATTTTTGGAAGAAAATGTGCAGGACAATTTCTACTCTCCCTCTGCCCAGACTTCCCAAAAATGAAGAAAAACAAAGTATAAAAAAAAACCCCAAACATGCCAAGAGAGTTACAAAAACATAATCCATTTCTGCTGCAGAAAAATCCTCACAGTCAAGCTATAGAATATATTCTGAAATATTAGTTTTGGGATATCCACCAGAAAATGGAAAAAAAAAAAAAAAAGACCCATGGGAGTAATAGAGTAACATGCTAGGAAGTAGTCCCATCAAGAAATTAAAAAGAAACTCTGAAGGCAGAACATCATTAACCAACAACAGGAGGGATGACAAATGCATCACTGTTTTCACAAGGCAAGCTGAGATATAGTCAGGATTAAATTATGATTCATCTTCTGCAGCACAGCAAAGTTTACTAGAAACTGTGAAATACCAAAAAAACACTTCTTAATCATAATTGTTCATCACACAGCCTAAGGTTTTTCTCTATATAAGTCCTATCAATAGTATCGAAGGTCAGAGGTGGTTGCCCCTTCTCTGTTGAAGTTTTTTATGCAACAATGGCCATTTGCTTCCAGTCATCTCCCAAACTGTGCTGTAATATGTAGATGTTATCATCATGCTCTTCATTAGTCACCCATTTATTTGGAAAACTTACTTTATCACGTACCTGTATTTCACTGCATGTAAGTGAAAACTTTATCACATACCTGTATTTCACTGCATGTAAGTGAACAGACATGTAGGAATGCAAGCACTTTTAAAGGGCCAAGGCAAAGGACAATGTGGATTTTTTCTAAAAGGTTACTTTTCTCACTGTCATCTAGTCCTAACATTCCTTTCACTGTACAGAAGAGTCAAAATCACTCAGTGAAAGCATGCATCTGTGGCCAGCATCAACACACGTGCCTGAAAGGCAACGTGAACAGGGCATCTAAAGAGTTGAGCCTGTGTAAGTGCAGAAACATCACAGGTATGTTACACAGAACCAGGAAGTTTCAAGGCAGCGCTGCCGCTTCATTCCCATATATTGACATGAGGTGAGGTGGAGCAGCCACAGCTGACTGGGCATCCTGAAATGCTGCCATGTGTGACTGCACAGTGCTTACTTGAGCGTGGTGTTTTCAGGGTAGAGGAGATAAGAGGCATCACATTTCTTCCTACAGCTACAGGAAGACAGAGCTAAAGCTGCTTTGGTGCCCCAACTCCCAAACAGCCTGTAATTTTCACAGAGGGAAGGGATTAACTGGTTCGTTGCTCACAGAGTGCCCGGTACCCAAGGTGCTGATTAGAACTGGCTTTGTTAGAGAAAGCAACAATTTAGGAAGGCAAGTGGTTGCAGAAAACATCTTGGGTCAAGTTGGTTTTGATTTAGCCGAGCCCACATCGCTGATCCCCTGAGCATCACGTTCCTCCCTCACTGTGCGTGCTCTGCCAAGAGCAGAGACTGAGGAATGGGGACACTCAGAACATTGGAAGTTTTTATCCAGCTGATGATCAGGAAACCCAGAATCCGTTCGTCCAATGTACCTACACAAAGCAGACCAACTGAAGACACTGAAGATGTGTTTCATTATTACAGTTCTTTAATATATAGTTCAAAGAGCTTTAGTATTCCCCAATTTATAGAGACCAAGAAGAAGAACAGAGAACTGATCTTCAGAAAAAGGATGGAGAGAAAAATGTGTAAATCTAAACTATTCCCAAAAGAAATACTGTTTAGTTCTCCACTTTACAAATATGATTTTTTAAAAAACATTTTGTTACTGAGCCAAAGACCTTATGCTGGCTTGGACTTCATTCTGTTGCTGTATCGATACAGATTTCTCCCTCTCTTCTGCATACAGGTAAACAGTATTGCTTTTATTTCACTGAAATGTGTAACCAGATCTTTATCTATGCTCCAGTTATCAAGGTTTAGTTTATTAGGAATAAAGAGCTGGCTAATGCCTTAATACTGTATTACCCGTGTGATTAAATACCAACACAACCAGTGCCCCAAAAGCCATTTGCACAGAACAGGCTTTGTTGCAGCATCTTTCAAAAGTAGGACATCCTTGGAGTTCACTACATGGGCTCTGAGGTCACAAACCCATGAAAACAGCACAGAAACTCAGCTTTTCTACCCACACAGGGATTTTTTTAATATATTTTATCCCCCCCCCCAACAATTGCTTGGAACTGCTACTTTGATTACCAAAGAGAAAAAGCCAGTGATACACTGCATTAAAAAAGTTTGGGACACCTGGTTGGCACACCAGCTCCAAAAGGATACATTTTACATGCTATGAGCTCACCCGCATCAAGGGGAAAAAAATTTGAATCGACAGAAAAACTAAATCTCAGGTGAAGATGAAAGGATATTTATATCAGCTCTGGGAACAAAAATTTCAAGAAACAGTGCTTTATTTTGTGTGTAAGTTATACCACAGCCAGACATGACTTAAAAGAAAAGAAAACTCACATCAGTAACCAGAGTAAAAAAAAAAAAAAAAAAAAAACTCACATGCCAGGCCAGGTATTTCCATAATGCATTTCCAAATCAGAAAACCTTATGAAAGGAAGTCTGGAAGTGACTGCAACAGTCACTGAGTCAGTCCATTTCCTTAAGGTACAACATGAGAGGTTTTACCCCTGCCCTCATTCCTGCCAGCGCAGAGCACTGTGAAGCACATTAAGTTCAAATCCTCCAGCACCTCCCGTGTGCAGCACAGACTATCCCAGCACAGGCTGGGAACATCCCTTGGTGCTGCTCCTGGTGCTCCTGTTCCTACTGAAGCCAGACTGAGCACCACTTCTTCACTGATGCTATCAACTTCAGGCAGTTCCCTTCAAAATGGGCACACCAGACACACCAGTCTGTGCCTGGGGGAAATGGGTTCCTCTCTGGGCAGATTAGCCTGCTGCCTCAAACTGCCTGTTTAAAACCACACACACACAGGTCCAGGGAATGTTACAGTGATTTGGCTTGGGAGCACATATTCCAGCGCTCCTGCTGCCACTAATGATGTGGAGCCTTCCACAGGAGAAACTTTTGCTGCGTTTCATTTGATGGTTTATCTGTCCTCCATGATCAGAATTCTGCCTCTCTCCACCACACCCAGCAGGGGCTCTTCCACCTCTGCCCTTTGCTGACCACCAGTCCTGCCAGAGAACACAACCAGTGCCCTGCCTGGGGGAGCAACACAAGGTACCACAGAAAAACCTCAAAAGCCTTGGTAATGAAGGGTTGCTTACCAGATGCCCTAATGCATAAGTCAACGACATCCAGAAAAGTTTATCCCTAGCTTTCTGTGATTGACAGGACAAGCTAATAGTGCTAGAATTCTGTTTTCTTCACTGGACAAAAGATGCCATAGGTTTTCATAAAAGAAGACTAAAAAAATTGCGAAGAGGTACAAGTTACAGATGTTGAGTTGGCTGCTACAACCCTCCTCATGCTGCCTGTAAATATATAAACAGAGTCTAAGGGAGATTGCTAGGAAAAAAGTGCAGAAGGCAGCACTTCACTGGATTCCTAATATCCAGCATATCAACTAATTATGAATCAACTTTTGCAGAGCCCATTTCCCCAAGGCATCTTGGCAGGCAGGGTATGACAACACATGTGAACAGTTCACCTCGGTACTTTCAGGTCAGTGCAGCACCAGGCAGAGAGCACCCTTGCTTTCCAAAAACAGAAGCTGACAGCTTTGCACAGGCCCCTTCCAGCCCAAATTCTTGCTGCTAGGGCAGCTGCACTTAGGTGCTGGCTCCTTTACCTTTCCTGGCAGGGCCACTCTGGAGTCACCCTGTCTCGTCTGGCAGCTCTTAGGCAGAGACCTGATCATCTCCAGCAGGTTAAAAGGTCAGCTGAGTAAATCTGCTTAAGGCAGAGCCCGGCAGGCAGGGCCAAGGATCACAACAAGGACATCCAGCATTGCCACTGCTAATGTGGCTTCACCACTCTGGGTCTGCAAAGTGCTGGGCACGGGGGAAGAGTACACCCAGCTCTGACAGACTGTGACTGCACAGGCACAGACACTTCTGGGGTTAAATACAACAAATACAATGTCCTTGCACTCCCAGACTGAAAGCCCAGATTTCAGCAACAGCCACCTACACAATCACCGGGTGGTTTTCTCCCCTTTCTTACCTATGTCCTGTTTTCATGAACCCTGCAAGGCTGCACTCACCAGTGCATCTCACAGCTCAAAGGTGACAATTTTACTGCTGGAAGTTTAGTCAACAGCGATAAGAACATAATCTAGAATACAGGCTTAGAGGAGAAAAGAAACAGGTAAAGGCAAAAAAACTGAATGAGCAATTAAAGTACAATTTGGCAGAAGAAAGAACCTTCGGCCCAAGACTTGCTGCCACTAACACTTTCTGACAGAAGTTCACAACAGCCTTGTACGTGACACTGTCCAAAACCTCCAAGCCACAGTATCTTCAGTGAAATTTTCAAACATGCTACACAAGCAAAAAGCTCAGCTGTCTCCACCTCTCCTGAGCATTGGCAAGGTTATCATTACAGTGTCACCGCTGTAAAACAAACCCGGCCATCTACAATTGCAGCACGGAGAGGATGGCTCTGCTGAGAGCAGGGGAGGGACGGCACCTGCCAGGGTGTGCCAAGCGAAACTTGCCATCAGCACTGCACATGACTAAGCACCTACTGCCTGTGCCAATACCCAGGCACCCAGCTGAAAGAAAGGTAATTTCTCCTTACCTGCCCCCTCCCACGGATCAGCGAACACGGGAAAGCCAGAGCATTGCAAATGAAGTTTGAGAAACCTTATGAATAAAAAAAAAAGCCCAACATATCACAAGATGCAAAACAACTCTTCACACAGGACAGTGACTACAAATACTCTTTTTAAGATTAAACTTTATCAAGTAAGAAATATCAGAAATGTGGATCCCGTTGCCAAAAATAGAAAGGAAATGCAGATACACTTAACAGAGACTCTCCATGTGAATACAGATCTGTTTGGTAATTAAATAATTCATAAATTTTACCCTTTTTGCTTCATTCTAATTGTGAGAGGTAATATTTATGTTGCCAATATTAGTTTCTAGTCCTGAGGTCCAAAATAATCTATTAGTTTTCATTTTAAATTCCCCAGACCTGGCAGAAAAGAGACAAGCACTCACTCCTCTGGATATTCTTCCTGAAGAAATCAGAATCATCATTATAATCATAACAGAATCATCAGCCAAAAAACACTTTTCAGTCAAAAGTGTTTGACTTCACGTCCTCCTCCAAAATTAAAAGAAACACTTATTTCAGCCCTGTGACGGGCAAAATATCCCAGCTAAATATTATACAACAGACAAAACCCAAAAGAAATGTAGAAAATTTGGAATCAAAACACGAGGTGCTTCTTAGTATGACAAAGGTGCATTTTTTTTTCATTAGAGGAAACAGTCATTAAAAATAAACACAGTGATGGCTTCCATGAACTCACCAGAAGCACTGATCACCTTACAATGCCTCTTGAAACCTACCAGCTTTCAAGCTGGGCAAAGTCATGAACTAAGTTGGCTTTGTAGAAGTCCCAGTAACTCTCTCTTGCCCACACTTTCAATCAATTTTGCATGTGGGTTCGCCTACTGGCTGCATAACTGATTAGGGAGAGAGGCAAGGAAAACCCTGCCATCTTTTGCTACTCCAGTAGAGCAAATAAAACTGAAAAATAGTGGTTCACATTCTTTGTTCACTAGGACTATTAAAGCAAAAAAAACTGTGATATATCTGCATTGATATTTGCCTTTAAATGAAATCTTGTGTGCAAATGTAAATCTGCTATAGTATGTATGTCATTTCTGCATGTATCTTGGAAATTAATGAACTAAGAGAGACACTCAGATAATTACACAGCTGGTTTTCAGAAGCCAGTGGTCGTAGTTCTATTGGCTTGAGACTTCAAATGAGTCAAACTGTATGACAAACAGGTATCCTGTCAAGTTCTGGGTCAGAATCCACAAAACTTTATGACAAAAGGCAGAAGTTTCATATTGACACTGCTTTGCAGAACCACTTGAAAGATGCATACAGGTGCTGCCTTAGAAAAAGCTGAGCCAAGAAACTCTGTCAAACAGAACATTAAGTTATGAATGTGTTTTACTGAGTGTCAGGCAGAACCTGGGACTAACCTCTGCAAGGGAAGAGTATTGTGAACAACACACTGAAATATCTCACCTTGCTCTGAAACAGCCATATAGTTCCTTTTGATCTCTCTTAATGCCTGACAAAATAATTGGAAGACATGCTTTGATTCCATAACTGAGTTTCAAGATGCTCTACACACAAGTTACTAATACCATTAATCATTAAGTCAGGTAGTAGCTGAACAAGTAGCTATAGACAGGTGTGGTGGTCTATATCTAAATGCATAAATAGGGCCTTAAGATGTCAAGCTTCTGCAGTTGTTATGAAATAGCATCAGAAATTCTGCTGGAACCTTCTAAGTGCATGCACTCAGCAATCCTGAAGCCCTCTGTGTAAACGTATTCAGCAAACAATCATAACTCTTTCTTCAGTCAAAAAGAACACAGAGAAAATAACACTGTCCTTTGCATTTCTGCATAGCTAAGTGTGAGATAAACACCTCGTGGCCCTCCTTTCCCACATAAATACACAGAGGTGAATGCTCCACTGTGACTTTTCATTCCCAGGTGGGAAGGAAACCCAGAGAGAAACCCTTCTCTCAGAGTGGGGGTCCAGCACCCAGCTCTGCCAAGCTCTGGCACCTGACACTGCTCCTGTGCCAGCACCTGCTGCACCACATCTCCCAAAGCCACATCTCCCTCCCCTGCAGGGCTGCCAGCCCCAGGACACCCTAACTCTGCCCTGAAGCACAAACCTGCCCTGCCCGAGGTCAGCATCCTCCTGAGCCCTCCTCCAGGGGAGAACCGATGCTCCGGGAGGAATAATGCTGTTCTCCTCTGTTCTGTTCTGTCTTTAACCTGAAATCGATACGTGATGTAGTCATCAGAATTACTCCACAGGGGATACTAAAGGCAGTCTTTTCCCCATGATCTGCACAAAGCTGACCTGGCGCACATTAACCTATTTTCCCTTCTGCTTATCTAAGCATCCCAGCTACAAATAAGATGTGGCTGAGCTGTATCACCCACCACCCCTGTGCTGCAGCTCAGATACCGACTGCCAGATATATCCCAGGTACCCAGGACAAGGCCCAGCACACCAGTAAGTATTTGCACATTGTCTCCAATTCCCTCTGCCACACAGGGTTATTTATACACTGTGTGACAGGGCAGCATCACACTGTGCTGTGTGCCAGCAGGGCAGGCAACAGACTCAAACCAATCCCTGCTCCTCGACACTTTCACCAGGAAGCAGGTCACAAACAGAGTGATGCCAGCTTTGTGCACTGAAAAATGTGTGCTATTCACCCCCAGAAAATAAAGTTAACCACCCTAACCCTTCTTCCCTCTCATACACAGCCCCCCAACAGAACAACAGAAAGATGGTTTCTTTTGTCTGTGATATATTTAGCTCTTTACACAAGCTTTACTCTTCCTAATGCATTTTTGGGACACCTAATGTTGACTTGGTGCAACGGCAGAGTTTCTGAGAGTAAGTACAGTGAGAGGTATTTGATTACATCCACACACTCAGTTTCTGAATGCACCAATAGTTCATATTTATGGAGCTTGTGTCCAAGCCTCAACCACGCGCCTGTTTCTGACATTCAGTCAAGCACATTAATGTTCTGAATGCAAATATTGTACACAGGGGTGTCAGCTGTTACTTTTAAAAAATCTACAGATAAAAATGGGAGGAACCTACACTCTGCATTCACACTGAAATCTTAAAAATGGCTCCAAATTTCAATATTCTTCTGTCCCTACAGCCATGTATTTACTGAAACAATTTTCTGAACTGCCAGAAACAGTTGGCTGCATAGGTGGCAACCATAGGAATTTGCAGCACTCAGTGAAAGGGGAAAATCAAACACCAAGCAGAAGGCCAGGAGATCAGATCTGAATGAGAACTCATTCACATAAATTATCCAAGCCCAAATATCACATTCCATCAAAGTTCTCTGAGTTCACCTAGGATGGAAATGAGACCTGGAGACGTAAGCTCTTGTGTCAGCATGCTCACTCCTTTACTGCCTCTGAAAGGAAAAAGGCAATGGCAATTCAAGTGCACAAGCAGATCCTGTGTCTGACCCACAGCTGGGGTGAGTGATGACACGGGGGTGATTAGCACTGACTGCATATTTACCACCATGAAGTCAAGCCCAACACAAGCCCATTTTTTCTTCTAATCAGCTCAGTTTGCTATTTTAAATTATTCCCAGATCAGCACAAGGTGCCGTACGACAATCCATAAAAAAAAGCCCGATAACAAGCGTGTACAACAGGTGAACTTGTATGAAAAGAGGTCAAACTATGAATAAGCAGAAACCAAAAAGTACCCAGTATCTTGTGAAGTTCTCCTTTAACCAGGGATTTCCTCAGCTAGAAAGGATGTCAGCAGAGAACATTGCATTCCGTTCTGAATTCCTCCCTTGGCTTTTAGCAACTGCCTTCAGAGCCTGCAATTGTTTCTGTAAATCCTTCTGTGCTGCTCCCTGTGTGCATGAGTTTAGAGGGCAAGGGTATTGCACATCCCTGACACCACTAACAGATGGGGCTCACCTCAGCCAAAACACAGATTACGGTCTTTGCAATACACTCTTATCCGATTACACACAAAAAAGAATTCCACTATCTGCCAAACACGAGTCTTCTCAAAAGACGGGAAAATTTGTCTTCTGCTCCACCTTTGTGTTTACAAAATTGTTCTTTTTGATTTTTTTTCCTGGACTCCATCACACGTGATTTGCACATCATAGGCTAGGAAAAAAAATCCTGGAAGATTTAAAAGCTTTCCAGTTGGCTATGGGAGTCACCTGTTCAGGTATGAAAATGACAAAATATGTCACCAGAATCAGGTATTTTAATGTTGTTAGTCTTCTAAAAGTAACACCATATAATAAAAATAGCACGGTACCAGTGTCTCACCACCCCCACAGCAAAAAACTTCTTCCTGATAGCTAATCTAATCCTGCCCTCTTTCAGTTTAAAGCCATTACCCCTCGTCCTATCACTATCTGCCCCTGTAAAAGGTCCCTCTCCAGCTCTCTTGTAGCCCCTTTTGGTATTGGAAGGGTGGTCTAAGGTCTGGTGAATTACCACAGGACTATTTGAAGTTGATTACAAAGCACCCCTGCTTATTCCCAACAAAAATTTCGCATGGCTTTGGAAATTCTATTTTGATGCCTGGCGATGGCAGCAATAGAGAAGGATGAACTGTAGCACCCCTTTGGGCATTACTGAAGTCTAAACGGGCAATAAGCTGCAAGCTTAAAAGGTCTGAGAAGGATTTATGGTGGACTAACAGATCCAAAGAAACTGCTTTTGAGGAAGCTAAAACTCTACAACACACAATGCCAGGCACAGTCATTTTAAAAATGGAATTGGTAATGTCCCCGTGGCTGAATGCAGCAGCTGGAGAAACTGCTGCCATTATTTCTCTAGAGCACAGCAGAGGGGATGCCAGAGCCAAGAACATTAGTCCATATAATTCCATCACACAATTCCATAAACCACCTGCCTCACCAGGTTTTGCCATCACAACTCTAGGGGGCCAAGAGCAAGAAAAAACAAACCCAAGTTTTCTCCTAATTACGTCAGTGCTACTGGGACATTGAAATAAGAACAATCAGAATTTAA